TTTTTTTTTTAAATTTGAAATTTAATTTTTTATTTTTGAAGAATTCAAATTACATTTTACATTTTATGCTTGATCATTTATCATTAAACGATTTTTTTTGATAACATTATTAAGTATTTATCAATGAAAGAAATGTGATTCAATCTTTTTACTGATTGTAATTTTTGATATTAAATTGAAATTCAATCGAAAATAATGCAAAAAAAGCGGTAGCAATTGGTTATTTCTCTTAATTTATGCTTAAGTTTTGCTATTTTCAATTGATAGTTTTTATTATAATATTTCATTTACAGTTAATGTAATATGATAAGTTGTTATTCGTTTGATAATACACAAATTGCTGTTACACGACAATTAAGCAAGCAATATCGGAAATCAAATTATTAGTAATTTTCGGTAGAAATTAATTATTGGTAATTTCCGGAATTGATTTGAGATTAGAAATCACTAAATTTCAAAAAATAAAAACTATCAAAAATTTGTAAAATAAAATTTGCAAATTTTGAAATTTATACAAAGCTTATATTAAACAGGCTTAAATTTAGGCAGAAATTAATTAGCTATCTCTAATTTCTTTTCATTCACTTTCAACTCCAATCATTTTCTCTTAACATTGACATTTCTTTTTCTTTTTTTTTGTTTTGAAACGAAGCAAAGATCGAAACTATTTATTTTATCATCTATCTGCGCATGCTATTGCGCACGTTGTAATAATGTCCGTATCATTTTGCCATTTCTATTATTGATTTCTATTTAATATTGTTAGCATTTTTTTCAAATATGATTAAAAATTATTATATAATTTCACATACTCATTGCATAAGGTATTTCACGTATTGATTAGGTAAGGTATTTTACGTATTGATTAGGTGAGGTATTTCACGTATTGATTAGGTAAGGTATTTTACGTATTGATTAGGTGAGGTATTTCACGTATTGATTAGGTGAAGTATCTCACGTATTGATTAGATGAGGTATTTCACCTATTGATGAGGTGAGGTATTTCATGTTTTGATCAGGTAAAAATGAAATATACCGTATTGTAATTTTGATTGTAAATTGATTTCATTTCAAACATACTAAATGCATTTTATTAAATGTGTTAATTTAAGGAATGCCGAAAAAATAGATTGAAAAAAATGGAAATGTTTAAATTTGAAATGTGTATAATTTCATTCATTTTCTCCTTACCTATATCATTGTTTTATCAACAATTTAACAGTAATCTGTCTTACAATTAACATCTATATTTTAGGACGGAACATTTTCGCTTAAAATTACGGAAAATTTAACGAAATAACCAATATATATATAATGGCAAGCAATGATTTATTAAATATTTTAAAATATTTTGAAATTGATGAAAAGATAGGTTTCGTATTTCCAAATCCATTAACAAAACTTCCGGAAAAATTCAAACTATGGCATGAAATTGCTGGTAATTCATTTCATCCTTCATTTGATAACTTATGTTGAGAAACAATAATTGACTAACAAAATTTATTCCTTTAATTAGATGAAACTTTTCAAATTTTATCATTACAACTTATCACTTTTTAGAATTATCATCATTGATAGCCATAGATTCGTTTGAATTTAATTTTTAAACAAAGTTATGAATTTAATTTCAAATAAATACATTTGTATGTTTTATTGTTTTCAGATGAAATTCAAGAATTAATAGAAAAGAATAGATTGGAAGAACGAATACAACAATTACCATTGATAACTGCAGATACGCTTAATACAAATGAAGAATTACGCTTAGCTCATCTTTTATTGGTAACTTTAGCAGCTGGATATGTTTGGCAAGATGGACCTGATAAAGTGATTATGATAAAATTATTTATCAGAAAACATTTATCGTCTAACACAATGTTTTTCAATGGTTCGCAGACTATATAAGTGATTTGCGCGAATTGAAATATGATCCGTAAAAATTAATTATATTATAATTTTATAATAAGTTTAACTAATACATTAAAAAGTTTATTTTCAAACTTTAACAGAATTTGTCATTTCTAAATCTTGTGATCCCTGCTACAAAGAAAAGAGCCAAGAGTTAGAAAAAGGTCACGAGAAGATTGTGAATCACTGGTCAAGAAAAGGTTGGGAATCATTAGTGTAGCAAGTGTTAAAATACCATAATATATATGTATATATAATCTTATGTAAAAATTACCCTAATTATTATGAAACTAATTGATAAGTTATGTTATGCTTTTAATTTGTTGAAAAATTTTTCAGGCTCGATTAAGTATTCCGGCAAATATTTCACTGCCATTATTCGATGTAAGCAATCGTATAGGCTTAAAACCAATAGTTTGTCATGCATCAGCCTGTTTAGCTAATTGGAAACCGATACGGGAAATGGAAGTTTTCAATGCTGCAATGATTGATATCATCACTTTCCGGTTTACTCAACATCATGGTAATCGATGGTTTTTTACACTTACTGCTCAGGTTAGCTCAGGAAAGTACATATTTTGTTGTTTTTTGATAATAAGCAAAATTTAGTTTTTGTCATTTTATTATCGTAATTACACAGATAGAAACCGAATTAGCTGAAGCAATATGCGCAATTGCAAGTGCATGTCTCTATGGCAAAATGGAAGAAATAACAATGCGACACATTTATAATGCGGTGACAAATGCTACAAGTACCATTCAGGTCTGATGTTATACCATAATTAATGGATCAAATCCGATTAACCGTTTAAATTGCATTAGACAATACCGTCTTTTTGTAACGATTGAACATCGATTGAAAAAATATATGATGTCAATTAATAAACTTTTATTTTTCTTGTCCTAAACTGGATCACTAAAATTATGGATTAATCAAGCCTAATTACAAAGTTGATGACAACATTTTTGAAGCCCAGTTGGAATAATAGAAATTATATCAAACCAGGTTATGCTTTGGTACTTAATGTTTGCTTGCTTCTTGACCAAGATGGGATATCTTGTGACATATGATAATGCAAAATTAGCAATGAATAACTGGAAGAGTGAAAGAAATGCTTGAAAATGAAAGAAAGCTTACTTTCAATTTTATTCAATAACTTTTTGAAACTAAAATTTGCATAGCGTATGGAAGAACACGTCCCACCGGATGTTTTCTACAATGGTTTACGTCCTTTTCTGTCCGGTTACAGCCAAAATGCATTGGAAGAACAGGGTGGTATCATGTTTGAGGGTAATAATCATTTATTTACATTTTTCTCTATTTACTTTTATCTTTTCATAGCTTTTAATTCTAATTAGAATACAATTTCATTTAATGAAAGTTACCCAACCAACTAAAGTGAAATAGGTAAATATTCATTGTTAGACTTCTAATTTCAAGATAACAAATTTAATGTTTAGAAATTTCTATAAATAGATTGAAGTTAATAAGCTAAGAATCACTTACATAATAGTTGATATAAGAATTACTTACAATGATTTATAAATTTAGGAAAAGAAGATTTGGGACCTCAACCTCTCAGTGGAGCTTCAGCAGCACAAAGTTCAACACTTCATGTTATTGATGAATTTCTTCGAATCAAGCATGGACATGATGTAGAAGCATTTTTGGCACTTCATCGTGAATATATGCCACCTAAACATCGTGAATTCATTGGTTGGGTTCGAGAAAATGCTGCTAAAATCCCGAATCTACAAAACGTTCCCGGTTATCAGGAAGCTCTTCTTGCTGTCAAGAAATTCCGAGAAGTACATATAGACGTGGTAAATTAACCGTATACCGTGATATACACATAAAATCTATCAACAAGAGCATATTATTTTAAAATAGCTGAACAAAAAGACTGTATTATCAATTAATCATACATTTTAGGTAACGAAATTTATCGTTTTACCAGCAAAAGGAAACTCTAAAATGGGCACCGGTGGTTCATCATTCATGCATTTGTTGCGTAACGTAGCCAATGATTGCAAGCTATGATTATTTCACTTGATGATATAAATAAACCTGTCAAAATTATATTAATTAAGCATCATATCTAGCAAATTATTTCAATATATCTGAATGGAAATTAATGATAAACATCGGTGGTAATTAACTGAGACATCAACGAAATATGTTTTGTGCCATTGATGTGAATAATCAAGTAATATGTGACATTAATATTTTGAACTTTTTTACTTCTACTATGGTATGAGGATGATATAAATTAGAAAATAAATGCGGTAGCAATGACTTTGGATTTATTTCTAAAATATACCAAATAATACACATTTGATTGCAAGTGTTTTCCAATCATTAACAGAAAGGTGGAAATTTCCAAAAAGAATAATTTGAAATGAAACAATCTGATGATTAGCATAATACTATATAGCACAAAGATGATATATATTTCATCAATTATTTTCAATCCTATATGAAAAATTTCATTATGTATATGTGAAAATTCAAATTTATATTCTATGACCAAGATTTGATTAAAAAAATAAAATAAAATGAGGAAATGAAATGAGTTTACAAACAAAAGAATGAATGCACTAATATGCAAGTAACGACGCTCTTCTCTTCATCGGAATAATTCATCAGGCTCACCAATTATATCCACAAAACGACGATTGATTACACCTTTATAAATTCTTTGATTCCTGTAATGAAACAATTATTATAGTATTGTCAAATTTCTTATTATAAGAACTAAGAAAAACTGTATAAAATCCAGTATTTACAAGCATGAATAATTAAAATAGTATTCATAATATATGGAATACATTTGCGATTAGCAAGTTATCGTATCCATTTTTCTTAAAATTATATAATAAATTTTAAAAAGATAAAAAGTGGATATGAGAAAATGGAATATTTACTCGTTACGATAAATTGCTCCAATGATCATTATTATTTCGAATAAGACAGCTAACCAAAGTAATAAGGTTACCCATGCCATGCTTTCATATTCTAGAAAAGATATAAAGTGTACATCGGAAATTTTTGAATCTTGGAAATCAAAAAATCAAGAACATATTTAACATATTATTGCTAATATGTTAATTAAATTATCGCCATTATCTGGTGAATATTATCATTCTTATGTTACACTTCGACTACTACATATGGCAAACAGTTGTAAATTTTTAATCAAAATAAAGAGGAGGGAATTTTTCACGTTAAATCTGACGTGTATTACGACATTATTTTCATATTGTTGGTTTCAATTTCAACTTACTTTCATTGCATTTGTATCCCTTCGTGAGATATTTACACGTACAAGTTACTCGTTCAATTGGCGTATTCGAATCAATCATTTTGCATCGGCCATTATTTTGACATGTCTTAGGAAGACATCCATTTAAAACTGCAAAGTAATCTCATTTATATAATACATCATAATCAAGTGAACAAGTTACAAAATAAACCAAAATAATAAAACCAAAATGGTAAGTTCACAAGTAATACATAAGATTTTATCCTTCTTCTTATCAAGCTGGTATTAGAAGTTTAACCTTACTTATACGATAGCAATACGAGGTTAAATTCCCCGAACATTTGATCACTTGATTATGTTTTGGATGATATACATAAAGGTGCCTGCCATTCGGTACATATCCATAACTGAAAATTCACTCTTATTTCGCGAAATTTTCTTCATCTACTTTTTATCGATTTAATTCTCAAATTTCACACGATTGTTTGCATTCTTTAGTAAGCAACATTTTTTCTGTAAATGAACAGGATACGACACAACGGACGGAGATTACTGCAGGAGCTATCAGGAAATCCGATCCTGACATATTATTCCGGATCATTCCGGATTGCTGAAGGAACCATAATTTTGGGGTAATATGTCCAATAAAGACAAATCTGTAGGAGCTTTGGTTGGCCCAAAATCAACTGAAATTAAATGGAAAAGCTATCTATAATTTGACCAGTTTGCAGATCATGAAATCATACTACTAGCACTGAATGTATATTCCTATGAAAGACAACGTAATATCCGATCAATAAATTATTCAACATTTATAGATAAAATTGAGTACAATGAACGTCATATTACAATATAATTAATGTTATATTATACTCATATTACAGCATTAACAGAATGATCATATAATTTTGTCACCATTCTTTTTCCATTTCATTTCTAGTTTTTGAAGAGGAAGGAGAAGGATGAGAAAAAGTATATGAAAAAGCTTTCAATAGAATTAAAATTCTTAAAAATTTTCAAATTCAGGAACAAACATTTTCCTGTACGTTGAATCAGTAGTATTTAATACATTTTCATTAATGAACCATTTTAACGGATTGGATATCGCGCACTGAACGGTATTTGGTATACCTTTATCCCATATTAACAATTGACACTGTGACATTGTGGATGCGAAGACAGCCAAAAAACTATAATGAATAATTTGTAGATAACTAAAAATCTCTTTAACACAACTTATTGAAATATTTAGATAAAACTTTGGTATGAGAGATATATCGGTATGAAAAGATATGTCAGGAATGTTCTCATAAAAAAAATGATTTTTAATTAAACGAATTCACATTACTTTTATCACATTAGCAAATTTCGTATTTTAAGTAATTTTTTTCGCTTTTGAGAAATTTATAATATATGTTAAAAGGAAGAAAAATTTTCGAACACTAAATATTTTTTGGTACTTTTTAATTTTTAAGTTGAAAAATGTTAAAGAAAAAAGTTTTCAAGTTGAAAAATTAATTCTGCAAAAATCTCAATATTTCAAGCGATACCATAAAATCAGGAACGTCAACCATATGATGATGGATGACGGTATCATCCCTTCGGACAACCGGCTGGCACAATTCCGGATACAGGAAATAACACGTTACACTTCTAGCTTCCTAATTTGCGATAAAATCATCGCTTTTTTTTTGCTAGACAATCTCATTTGGTTCTATGTTTGCTACTTCCTGTTTTTAAAACACTGCAATCTTTATTTTCGGCATGGGATTTCCATGTTGCATTAGTCGTAACACAGCTGTGATCCTTAAAAGAGAGAGAACACATTGAGACAACGGATGGTAAACTTCGAAAGAGAATGTTTCTGGAGAGAATTAGGGATTGCTGAGATTGGAAATAATATGAAGTTTGAGTAGGAGAAAAGGTAGAAAATAGTAATAACAGGTAACAGCAGTTGCC